CGACGGCTGCGACTGCGGCGGCTGCTGCGGCTGCTGCGAAGGCTGCGACTGCGGCGGCTGCTGCGGTTGCTGCAACTGCAAGGGCGGCGGCTCTGCCGGACTGGGCAGGGTCCCCTCGTCCGCTTCAGCACCAGACGACCCGACTCCACCACCACCCCCTCCCGCACCCCCGCCTCCTCCGCCGCGCCCAACTTTGGGGCGGCGGCCCTTCCCCGAACGAAACTGCGCTGCAGCAGCGGTCTCAGCCACTGCGGCAAAGCCGTCGGAGAAGGTACACTGAGCAGGGGCACAACCCTGAAAGATAGGGACCGGCACGGTACCGCTCGCCTGGGCGATGGAGCGGTGGCGGGTCTCAATCACAGTCAGGGTGTCTACAAAGTCAGTGAGGGTGAGGTCTGCGGGGTGAATGCTAAGGAAGTGGTCGCAGGCGACAGCAAGGCGGTCAGGGAGGCGGGTGGCAAGCAGGTAAAGGGTAGAGGTAATGGGCGGCTGGTGGGCTCTAAGCTTTGCGTCAGTGCAGGCAGCGCGCCAGGTCTCATCTATCGAGCGCAGATGGGCAGCGAGGTCAGAGACAGTGGGGAAAGATGCAAGGTCAGGAAAGAGCATCGGGAGGATCAGGCGACCCACCGAGGCAGCCGGAGGGGTGGAATAGCGCTTGATGACAGCATCTAAGTATGCCTGAGCAGTAGTGAGGGACCTAAAGCGAGGGCGCTCGGACGGGGGAAGGGCGTTGCTAATGGCAAGCTGGGCGACAGCATCGCGAGAAATCCAGACAGAGCGCGCATGGGCAGTGGCAGCAGTAGACTCGCGCTCAGTGGGTGTGGAGTCAGCGGGCAGAATAGCAGGGGGGTCTGGGCAGGGGAGCGTACCGTCAAGGTGTGCGGAAAGCGGTTCACCATCCTGCCGCTGGCCAGTGAGCTGGCGCAGGAGGTCGGCAAGCCACGCCTCGAACTCCAGAGGCTGGCCTTCAGCGTCGAAGCGAAGCTCCGCCGCCATCAGGGGCAGTGCAGGACGGGACAGTACGGTGCAGTGAGGTGCAGTGCAAAGCAGAGCAGTGCAGGGCGGTGCAGTGCGGGGCAAGGCAGTGCAGTGCGGTGCGGGACGGTGCAGGGCGGTGCAATGCGGTGCAGGGCAGTGCAGTGCGGAGCAGGACGGTTCAGGGAGGGGGGGGGGGGAGAACCGGACCAGGGAGGATGAAGGGGCCGGGGCAGGGATGAGCGCAGGGGCCGGGCCGGTGCGACGGGGCCGGGCCGGTGCAACGGGACCGGGCGGGTGCGACGGGGCTGGGCCGGCGCGACGGGGCCGGGCGGGTGCGACGGGGCCGGGCGGGTGCTACGGGGCCGGGCGGGTGCGACGGCTCCGGGCCGGTGCGACGGGGCTGGGCGGGCGCGACGGGGCCGGGCGGGCGCGACGGGGCCAGACGGGTGCGACGGGGCCGGGCGACGGCGACGGGGCCGGGCAGGGTGCGACGGGGCCGGGTGGGTGCGACGGGGCCGGGCAGGTGCGACGGGGCCAGGCGGGTGCGACGGGGCCGGGCGGGCGCGACGCGGCCGGACGGGTGCGACGGGGCCGGGCGGCGGCGACGGGGCCGGGCAGGGTGCGACGGGGCCGGGCGGGTGCGACGGGGCCGGGCAGGTGCGACGGGGCCAGGCGGGTGCGACGGGGCCGGGCGGGCGCCACGGGGCCGGACGGGTGCGACGGGGCCGGGCGGCGGCGACGGGGCCGGGCAGGGTGCGACGGGGCCGGGCGGGTGCAACGGGGCCGGGCAGGTGCGACGGGGCTGGGCGGGCGCGACGGGGCCGGGCGGGGGGGGCAACGGGGCCTGCAGGCGTGGCGGGGCCCAGGAGGGGCGCGGCAGGGCTAGGGGCACGACGGGGCCCAGGGGGGTCGCGACGGGGCTAGGGGGTCGCGACGGGGTTAGGGGGTCGCGACGGGGCCCAGGAGGGGCGCGGCAGGGCTACGGGCACGACGGGGCCCAGGGGGATCGCGTCGGGGCTAGGGGGTCGCGACGGGGCTAGGGGGTCGCGACGGGGCCCAGGAGGGGCGCGACAGGGCTAGGGGCACGACGGGGCCCCGGGGGGTCGCGACGGGGCTAGGGGGTCGCGACGGGGCCCAGGAGGGGCGCGGCAGGGCTATGGGCACGACGTGGCCCAGGGGGGTCGCGACGGGGCTAGGGGGTCGCGACGGGGCCCAGGAGGGGCGCGGGAGGGCTAGGGGCACGACGTGGCCCAGGGGGGTCGCGACGGGGCTAGGGGGTCGCGACGGGGCCCAGGAGGGGCGCGGCAGGGCCTAGCTAGAGGACGAGCGGAAGCGGTAGGTGGGGGATCCTAACCTATACGTGATACCATATCAAAATGAGAGAAGTGAATGATGAGTAGTGGGAGAGTACAGATAGATATACCTAAGTATTGTACCCTCTAAGAGGTGACCCTATACAGTCTATGCAAACATAACTAATACACATGTTTGGCAGGGCCCACTTGGTGCAGCTTACAGGCAGTGAGGGCTGGGCTACAGGTGGCGCGCTGCTTGCGATTTTGCCCGTGCCATTTTCCCCACCGTACGACATGTTTTCCCCGCCAACCAATCAGGTAACTGCAACTTCTCGCCCAGTTTCCCCTGCTTGCATTTCTCGACTGTGTACCCTCTGCCCCATCGCAGTTTTGTCCCTTGGTCGCAAAAACGGGCGTCTGGGCCCTTTCAAGTTGGACCCGCCTTCACTATTTTGACATCTCGCTTTAAAACCCTCGGCCCAAATTGTTCATACGCACTGCGTGTGAACTGTGAGCCTCGGCCTGGACGAAATACACAGAAAACTCGTGAGGGTATTTCATGTCGCGAATTCGTAATTTGTCGTAGATCGTCCAATTTGCAAGCAGGCAGTGCGACGGCTGAGATTACATTTTGATTGACTGGGGGAAGCACTTTACTTGCGCACCGTTAGATGGAAATCGACAAATATTGAACAGCTAAAAAACACGAGGCACTTGGTTTCCCAAAATACGTTTCGCGCTGAACTTGAAAGCCAGCCCCGAGTGACGCGAGTCACGTTACCCCCATCTACACCCACGAAAACGCGACTTTCAAACGCAGTGCGTTTGAAGGTCGCGCCTCGCAATTTGGGCCGCGGGCTTTAAAGCGAGAAGCTATAATAATGACCCCCACTTCGAGTTGGACCCAACTGGAAATGGTTCGGATCAAGAGTGTATTGGTTGGAACCTTGGGAGGCGTTTTTTTTTTTTCCCCGACAGTTCTTAGGTAGCCGATCCTTGGCGAAAAGATTACAAATGGACATTTTGCCTAATTGTCGCATAACACAATCACTCGCTACGCTGCGACAAAACTAGCTGCGGATCTAAATTTTGGAAGTCAAGGCACACCCTTTCTCATCAGATGTCACTTCCAAGCCCCCAAAGCGAAACATTTCACCAAAGACTGAGTGCAAAATATAAGAGAAAGAGAGAGTGAGCGAGCGAATGCAAAAATCGAGGGCATGTGATCATACATGAGTGGGAACAGATACGCGCGAGAGGTGTGGAGAGAGGGAGATATGGCGGGAGCGAGGGGCGAGCGAGTGTGGCACATCGGGAAGGGAATGGCATGGCGAGACGCTCGCTCCTCCTCCTCTCTCTCTCTCTCTCTCTCTCTCTCTCTCTCTCTCTCTCTCTCTCTCTCTCTCTCTCTCTCTCTCTCTCTCTCTCTCTCTCTCTCTCTCCCGCTGCGCCACTCTCTCCCTATTCTTACCTCCGCCTCTCTCCTTCTAACCGCGCCACTCTCCTCCACGCCGCGTCACTCCCCCACTCTCTCACCGCGCCTCTACCGCTAACGATGCCTTTCTCTCTCTCTCTCTCTCTCTCTCTCTCTCTCTCTCTCTCTCTCTCTCTCTCTCTCTCTCTCTCTCTCTCTCTCTCTCTCGCCGCGTCTCTCAACCTTTCTCCCCGCGTCTCTCTCTCTCTCGCCTTGTCTCTCCATCTCTGGCCTCGTCTCTCCTGCTGACGCCACGTCTCCCTCTCTCTCCCTCTCTCGCCCGCGTTTCTCCGTATATCGCCCGCGTTTCTCCGTATCTCGCCCGCGTTTCTCCCTCTCTCGCCCACGACTCTCCCTCTCTCGCCGCGTTTCTCCCTCTCTCCCCGAGTCTCTCTCTCTCTATCGCCGCGTCTCACCCTTTCTCCCCGCGTCTCTCCCTCTCTCGACACGTCTCTCCATCTCTGGCCTCGTCTCTCCCGCCCACGCCGCGTCTCCCTTTCTCTCCCTCTCTCGCCCACGTCTCTCCTTCTCTCGCCGCGTTTCTCTTTCTCTCCCCGCTTCCTCGTCTCTCCCGCTCATGCCGCGTCTCCCTCTCTCTCCCTCTCTCGCCCGCGTTTCTCCCTCTCTCCCCGCGTCTCTCTCTCTCTATCGCCTCGTCTCACCCTTTCTCCCCGCGTCTCTCCCTCTCTCCCCGCGTCCCCCTCTCTATCGCCGTGCCTCACCCTTTCTCGCCGAGTCTCTCCCTCGCTATCCGCGTCTCTCCCTCTCTATCTCTCCCGCAGCGCCACACTAGCTCTCACAGCTCTATCGGTACCAAGTTTCTATGCGGTGGGGCAGGTAGCGGAACTAGCTTGCTTTCTCGACGATTTTTTGCTAGCTGGATGTCGCTTTGCGTGGGGAAGGTGGGGAATCCTCGGCAATTGTGAACCCAGGCCCAAGTTGAAAAACGAGTTGGGCCCATCTCGATCCGAGAGCCCCAACTCGTTGCTTGCACTCGCCGTGCAAGTGTCGCATCGAGAAGTGCGACCCCTGACAAGGATTCGTTTTCAGATTTGCGTGTCGCGCATTTCGCCCTGCGATCAACATTTTGGCGGGACCCAATCAGCTTTGAGCTGAAATTCCGATCTGTTAAGAACTTAGGATGCTAGGTCCCTAAAGTTAGGACACTAGTTTAGCTAGGATAGGAGCAAGGTCGCCATGGAACGGCGCTAGGAAAAACGGATCTAGGAGTAGGAGGAAAGTCGAGAAGAAAGAGAGTTGGATTAGGAAGAGAAGGGAGTACAAGGAGGGGTTTGTACCCCCTACAGAAAGGTTCAGTAGCAACCTACCAAGCCTATATAAAATTATAACTTATATAATTTTAACACGATCTGCCTACCCCTGCCATTTTGGAACAGTTATTTGTTGAAGCTGGTTTCCAACTTGAGTCGCTCAGAGGGAGCCCTCTTTCAAGTTGGGCCAGCCTTCACGATTATAACTTCTCGCTTTAACGGACAACGCATTGATGCTAGTCATCTCTGGACCGGATCCACTTTGGCAGAAATGTCAAGCCCAAAATCGGCCAACTTCACAACGGCTACAGAGCTGCCTCCTTCAGACACAAACAAGCTCAAAACGTCTGGCTCATAAGGAAGTGGCGAAACTGGCTTTCCAGTGCATGCATCGTCTTGAGGTTTGGAGATACGGGCTCCTGCACAGCAGATCATTTGCACTGTTAGAACATATAGCCCGTACTTGGCGCACCATTTCCCAATCCCGCTTTCTCAAACAAGCCCCTCTGAGCCCAGCACTCCATGCCTCTTTCGAGCACCAGCAGTTTTGAGGCGCCTCAAAGACCCGCCTTCTCACACAAGCCTCACCGCACCCATCCATGCCCTGACGCCCATCCATGCTCTGACGCCCATCCATGCCCTGACGCCCATCTATGTCCCTACGCCCATCCATGCCCTTGTGCCGTTCCTTCCACACCTTTCAAGCACCAGCACCATTGGAGATGATTTCAGCCAGTGTTGCAGCAGCAAAGACAAGGAAGAGAGTGCCGCCCACGTAGGCCACAGTCTGCCGGGAAGAGAGGGATGGGCCACAGGAAGATGGGGGATGAATCAAACACGAGAGATACAGCTGCAGATGCATCAGCTCACATAGGATCACAAGTGCAATCCAAGAGAGTTCCGCTCACGGAGGTAAGGATTGCAGTTTTGAGGCACCTAAGAAATCATCGCAGTTTCTTAAGCGCCTAAAAAGTAGACTTCTGTCTTTCAGAAAGTGTGGTCAGAAGGGGGATGGAGGACCAAAGGTAGGGAGCATACATGATAAGATCTACATTCATCACAAGTCTATACTGGTTTGGCTGGCCAGATACGAAGAAGAGAGTACCACCCACCTAGAATACAGATTGTTGGGAAGGAGGCCGGAAATGGGATGGAGCACGGAAAGGTGGGGAGGAGCAAGGGGGAAACTAGTTCCACCCACCAAGAGTGCTGACTTGTCGGTAGTGATGGAGAAAACATGCTGGTAACCCGTGGGTAACCACCACACTTACCCGCTTGGTAATGTACTTGGAGAGGAGTGACCCCCCCCCCCCTAGCGCTGCCATCTGGAATGGACAAACTAGTGGCACCCATACATTGGTGCTCAGCTCATATGTTGGTAATGGTGGGGCTAATTGAACACCAAATAGGTGCCATTGTGTCAATACGTGGCAGCAACTTTGTGTGATGACACCTTGTGTAAATCGTAGAGTGCTTGTAGAAAAAACTCTTGCATTAAAAATAGGTGGTAACGGGTTTCGGCTTGAAGCCTTCTTCAGACCACAGAGTCCTAAAGAAAAACAAGCACTACTTATACGCCAAAAAGATGTCGCCCAAGATTCGCCTCGCGCGGGAAAACCGTCGCGGGGAAAATGGGGACGCAACGAAAAAACGAAATAAGCACAATCGGTAAAACTCTACTGTAGATTAGCACTTATGAGCAGAAACTAAAAAGCTTCCGATTCTCTTCGGCAGACTCCACGCGATAATAGCTCTCCTAGAAGCGTAAGTGTCGTGTGACAAAGTAACGAGGTGACTTTTGAGTCGACTCAAAAGTTTCCCCAAGTGTGAACGGTCAACCAGAGGGTTGAACAGACATTTCAACATGAGGGGCCCACGTTTAGGAGAGTCGCGAATTGAAGAGGCGCGAGCGAGAGGTTCGTTGCGAGAGGCGAAGGAGACTGACTTGAAGATTGGTAGTAGAAATTTCTCAGAGTACCCTCTGGCTCTTAGCCGAGCGAAGAAAAGGGCCCTAGAGTGCAGGAAGTCAGCCCGTGATGAAGACCGCAGCAGGAATCTGTGCAGTTCGCTCCGGATGAAACCAAGTTTGGTAGTCCGGGAATGATAAGACCTGAAGGGTAAGTACAGATACCGATTCATCGGCTTCTGAAACAACATTGACGTCCAAAACCCCGGAGTTTGTGAAACGTTCTCCTTTGAAGAAAGTAACGTCCAAGAAATCCATCGAAGTTTCAGACAACACCCATGTCAGGCGAATTGAAGGATGAAGCGTGTCGAAACGCACTTTTAGCTGTTGAAAATCTTCCTTAGACCCATCCCACAAGATCAGACCGTCATCGATGAAACGGAGGTGTAGAGCGGGGGATGAAGGGATCGAACGGTGCAGCTGAATATCCAAGAAACTCATGAATAGGGCCGAGAAGCAAACTGCGACTGAAGTCCCCACAGCGGTTCCGTGGATTTGGCGGAAGAATCTTCCGTTGAAAGAAACATAGCTGTTAAACATCACCCACTTCAGCAGGCGAATAATCAGTGGAGCTAGTGGATGTCTAGCCCTTTGAAGAAAATAGGAAACTGCATCAATCCCATCGAGCAGGGGAATCGACAAGTATAAAGATTCCACATCGTAGGATGCGAGAAGAAGATTGTTAGAAAAACGCCGTTGCTCAAGCTGCAGTACCAGACTTTGTGAGTCTTTGACATAAGTGGACTGCTGTAGTACCAAAGGTCGGAGTACTGCGTCCAGCCAGCGAGAAACATTCGACGTCACCCAGGAATGACAGGCCGCGATAGGACGACCAGCTGGAATTTTCTTATGGATCTTCAGAAGGACATAGAACGCCGGGATCTTCCATCCGTTCTTAGGAGCTTTATAAAAAGAAGTCCATATCTTCTTAGAAAGTAGAGGGTAAAAAGGGGTAATGGTGGGGCTAATACAATGGTAACCTGTTGGTAGCTTGTAGGCAACGACCGCACTTACTCGCTCGGAAGTGTACTTGGGAGAGGAATGACCCGCCTGGCACTGCCATCTGGAATGGAGCACTGGAGATACCAGCGTCATCCACACAATGGGGCTCACACGCTGGTAGTGGTGGGGCTCACACGCTGGTAGTGTTGGGGCTCACGTGCTGGTAATGATGGGTCTAGTACATTGATAACCTGTAGGTAGCCTGTAGGTAATGGCCACACTTACCCGCTCGATGATGTACTTGGAGAGGAACGACCCGCCTGGCACTGCCATCTGGAACCGTTTTTTAGAATTCTGAAAAATGACTCCACCTTACCCGCTTGGAGATGTAACTTGAGAGGAACGACCCGCCCAGCACTAACCTGGTGAGTCGACTCAAAGTCAGCCACTTACCCGCTCGGAGATGTACTTTGAGAGGAATGACCCGCCCAGCACTGCCATCTGGAATGGAGCATGATGGGCAATCGTGCAACAAAGTAAAAAGAAAAATAAGGCATTATTGGAAGAAATGGATGGGAATGGGAACGGAAGGGAGGGGAGTACGAAAGCAACGAGCGTACTATAAAGGGAGCCTGCTGGAAGGCAGTGACAGGGCTGAACGTCGAGGAGCAAATGGAAGGGAATGGAAGGTGGGCACTAAGGAAGGCGATGACTGGCAGATTTACACTCACAGGTGTGTTTTGAGTTGGCTCAAGACACACGTGGATATAATGTCGGACGGCTACGGATGGGAATGGAAGGTGTGCACAAAGGAAGGCGATGACTGGCAGCTTTACACTCACAGGTGTGTTTTGAGTTGGCTCAAGACACACGTGGATATAATGTCGGACGGCTACGGATGGGAATGGAAGGTGGGCACAAAGGAAGGCGATGACTAGCAGCTTTACACTCACAGGTGTGTTTTGAGTTGGCTCAAGCCACACGTGGATGTAATGTTGGACGGCTACGGATGGGAATGGAAGGTGGGCACAATGGAAGGCAATGACTGGCAGCTTCACACTCACCACTGTTGCCACACCGTGGGCAGCCACAGCCCCTGTGACCACTCCAGCCGGGGATGAGGCGGCCGCCAAGGCTGATCGGGGGGGTGGGGGCGAGGGGGGGGGGGGGGATTGTGAGAATGCGAGATACCGTGTGAGGCACACAGACATAGTCCCAGTGACCATTCCAGCTGGGGATGAGGCGGCCGCCAAGGCTGACGGGAGAGAGGGAGGGCGGGGAAAGGGGAGAGGCGTGGTGAGACGTGGTGAGGCGTGGTGAGGCGTGGTGAGGGGTGGTGAGGCGTGGTGAGGTGTGCTACTGAATGATGCAAACACTAGCTCTGGTGTGAGTACTAGCGCAAAGACTGATGCCTGCACCGCCAGGCAGATGAGGGCTGCCCCCCCCCTTCTCTCTCCCCCCCCCTCTCTCCCCTCTCTTTGTGTGTTTTTGGGTGAGGCAGCTTCTCTTACCGATAGTGGAGAAGAAGGTCTTGTTGCCCCCCCCACTCTGCTGTGAAGACCGGCGCAAACATTGATGCCAGCACCGCCAGAGAAATCAGAGCTGCCCTCCCATTTCTCCGCCCCACTTCCCCCTCTCCCTTCCACTCTTGTGTTTTTTGGCGAGGCAGCTTCTCTTACCAATAGTGGAGAAGAATGACTTGTAGCCCCATTCTGCTGCGAAGACCAGTGTGAACACTGATGCCAGCACTGCAAGGGAGAGGACCCATCTCCTCACCCCCCCCTCTCCCCTCTTCTTATGTGTTTTCTAGCGAGGCAGCTTCTCTTACCAATGGTGGAGAAGAAGGACTTGTCGCCCCACTCTGCTGTGAAGACCAGAGCGAACACTGATGCCAGCACCGCCAGAGAAATGCCTCCTTCTGTGGCCTCTGCGTTCAGCCCTGCGACGGCCTTCTCCGCCTGTTGCAATGAGGGGATGGGAGCAGCGGAGGAACGCAGAACAGGGCACGTTCAAGAAGACGTGCAGCACGCACTGCTAGGGAAACGCCTGCTTCTGTGGCCTCCGCGTTCAGCACTGCCACTGCCTTCTCCACCTGCTGAGTTGGGGGATGGGGACAGCAGAAGAATGCGAGGAGGAGGTGGAGGTCGTTCACACTGCATGTGGAGGTCCCTCCCATGCATAACATCAAGGAGATGCGTCCCGTTCAGTCGCCTCTGCGTTCAGCCCTGATAGTGCCTTCTCCGCCGGGTGGGATGCGGCGATGGGAGTAGCAGTGTAAAGTTGTAAACTGATGGAAGCAACAAGTGTGGGGGGCAACGGTGGGGGGAAAGGGTGGAGGGCAAGGGCGGGGGCCAAGGGTGGGGGGAAAGGGTGGGGGGAAAGGGTGGGGGGAAAGGGTGGGGGGAAAGGGTGGGGGGAGAGGGTGGGGGGAAGGGTGGGGGGAAAGGGTGGGTGCAAGGAGGAAACAAGGGCTTCTTTTTGCAGTGCTGCCTTGCCTACTGGAAACAACTTGTGCACTCGTCCCCCTCACCCTCGCCTTCGCCCTTGCATAATTATCAGCCACACTGTGCGTGCACACCAATCCCTTCTCGTCTATCACCACTGTTCACTTCACTCAACCTCCTGCTGCTCCCCCTCCGCCTTGGCGTCCTTGCCTTCACCTTCACGTTAGCCCTTCCTTTTCATTCGTCCCCCCCGTTTCCACTCTCTCACCTCCTGCTGCTCCCCCTCCGCCTTGGAGTCCATGCCTGCTGCGTCCCTCAGCGTGGAGAGGCCGAAGAAGAGCTGCAGGGAGAGAGAGGAGAGGGGAAAAGAGGGGGGGAGGGTGAAGTGAGAGAGACACACATAGTCGCTTTCTAACAGCCTTGGCGACCATGCCTGCCGCGTCCCTCAGCGTGGAGAGGCCGAAGAAGAGCTGCAAGGGAAGAGAGGAGAGGGAAAAAGAGGGGGGAGGGTGAAGTGAGAGAGACACACATAGTCGCTTTCTAACAGCCTTGGCGTCCATGCCTGCTGCATCCCTCAGCGTGGAGAGGCCGACGAAGAGCTGCAGTGGGGGCAGAGGGACAGAGGGGCATTGCGTGGAGAGAAGATGCTCGTGTGCTTCTAGTCCCATGAGAGCAGCCTTGGCGACCATGCCTGCTGCGCCCCTCAGCGTGGAGAGGCCGAAGAAGAGCTGCATGGAGAGCGTGGAGAGGGGGAGGGGTGAAGGGGGGGAGAGAGAGCCATATAGTTGCTTCTTAACAGCCTTGGGGTCCATACCTGCTGCGCCCCTCAGCGTGGAGAGGCCAACGAGAGTTGCAAAGGGACAGAAAGGAACGAACATGCAAGCAATGGAAGACGGAACGGAGGCACACTCGCAAAATTTGTGTCCCGCCCGCCAAAGCCAGCTGTGAAAGAAGGAGCTTGATGAAAACAAGGAATGCTGCCCAGGAAAGAAGATGCAGGGAAGCTTTGTGAGTTATAGTGCGGTTTCCTAGCTAAAGCACACCTAAAGGGTACAAAAGGTGCCCTAGAGGGTAATGGCGGCTTACCAGCAGAACCGCTGAGGCGACATCATCGAGGGGAAAGTCAAAGGAGCCAAAGCTGACGTGGCATTTGAGTTTATTAGAACCTAAGTCACCAAGGGGGTTACAGTGAGAGATTAACAGCAGCACCACCCTAATGGGTTGCATTGGGAGCTTACCAGCAGAACCACAGAGGCGACATCGTCGAGAGGGAAGTCAAATGAGCCAAAGCTGCAGAAAGTCAAACGAGAGGGAGCAGACAAACAAAGTCAGAGCGAATCTCAGAATGCCTCCAAAGGGAAGAGCCACGAGGGAAGATACACAGAGACTCGGATACAGAGCTGATCAGACGCAGTTAAAGCGTTGGGGATGAGAGAGAGTGCATTGAGCATGCTGTCAATGGGAGATCAGGCAAGGGGGAAGGCATACGCGGGTAGGAGCTCGTCTGCATAGTGGAAGATCCGGCCAAGAGCCACAGATAGCACGGTCATGACACTGCAGAAGCGAAAGGGGTGGCGGGGGGGGGGGGGGGGGGGGGGGGGGAGGGGGGGGGGGGGGTTGTGGTTGGGTGGGGCGCGGAGGGGAGGAGGGAGAGAGGTGGGGAACAAGCAGAACCAGAAGAAGAGTGCTTTGCCGGAAGGAAGAGGAGACAGAGGGGGGAAAGGATGCATGGTCCAGAATGAAGAATCAGCAGGGCCAGAGCAGGGAAGCAGCCGAGGTGAAGATTGAGGCAGGGAGACGGTCTGGGCAGTGGTAAGGGTCATCTGTGGTAGGAAGAGACGTCTTCGTGGGACCTGACTGACACACGGACCAAACTACACCCCGAGCTGACTTTTGAGCCGACCCAAAATGCAGGGAAACGGTCCCGCCAGTGGTAAGTGTCACTTGTGGTACATAGAGGCATCCTCGTGGGACCTGACTGACACACGGACCAAACCACACCCCGGGACTGACCAATCACGAACTTGACCACGCAATCGCATAGCAATAGAACTCTTTCGGGACTGAAGGCAATGTACGCTATTCAAGAAAGCCACACTTGTATATAGGTGGAGTTACACTCACGCCAGGGCTCCAAAGGTGCCTGCAAAGACCTCCACGTTGGGACGCCTCGTGGCGAGCACTGCCTGGTGGGGGATGGGGGGTAGTAGAGGCCAGTGGGAGGCCGAGAGCAGGGGAGCGGAGAGGGGGGGAATTAGATGTAACCATACAGGGTACTCTAGACCCGCGCCAGGGCTCCTAAGGTGCATCCAAAGACCTCAAGACCTCCACGTTGGGACGCCTCGTGGCGAGCACTCCCTGGTGGGGAGAGAGGGGGGGTAGAGAGAGGAACGAGAGAGGATGCTTGTGGTTGATTTCTTTCGCTTTCAAATCTGTTCGTGCGTGGCGTGTGTGTGCTTCCACCGGATCATCATAAAGACATCCCCCCCATGAAAACCCTTACGAAGTACGAACCAGGAGAGAAAGGTACCAGGCATGCCTGTGACGAATGCGAACTTGAATGGTTTGGTCAAACGAAATCGCAAAATGACAACCATTCTCAGAGCGATGGCTGACAGGCAGAAGAAGCCCTACCGCGATAAAGAAGGTCTTGTCACCGATCTCCGAGAACAGTACGAGAAGAAAAGCCTGGAGGCACGGAGGGATAGGAGAATCCAGTCAGGGGAACCCAGGAAGAAACCGATGAAATGGAGGAAATGAGGGCAGAGCAACCGGAACATGCAGGCTGAAGGGATGACGGAGGCGTGATACTCATACAAAGAAAATCGCGATGGAGAGTGCACGGGAGTTCGTTATACGAGATTTCGATGCACGCACCGATGCGAAGCCAGCTTGGAAGTCGGCGAGGTCCAAAAGGCTGCTGACGTCAGCTGGGACGGCAGCGGAAGCTGCGATGACGTCAGCTGTCGCTGCTGCTGCCGTTTCTGGTGTGGCAAGTCCGAGTAAGGAGAGAGACAATGCACCTACAGCTGCTGTAATGGCAGCAGACGCGATCAGGGACGGCGACTGGGTGGTTGATGGGAGAAAACCCGATGGTATCGAAGGCCATTGGAGAGATTTCCTTTGGGAAGAGCTGCAAAATATTGCTGGTCTTTGCACTTGCTCAATCGTCCGAACATTCTCAGCGGACTGGTCAGCTTGTGAGCTCCCCTCGTTTCTTTGGCACGAGCATTGGAGGAAGATTCTCTTGCTCTCTGAATTCGAGCAGCCGGAAACTCGACGCGTTTGAGACCGTGAAAGTCTGCTCTTCAGAGACTCGAGGGAAACGGACTCTTTAAGTTGGAATTCGCCAGCTGGCGCTCTGGCATTGGTCAGGGAGGTTGAGCACGCAGCCAAAGAGCAATGCGGGACAGCGCTAAGAGTTTTGCTCGCCAGTAAACCAGAGCCAATGACAGCAGCTGAGGCGGCCATTGGAGATGTCTGCGTTCTAATCAACCCGAGAAAGAAAGAATGGAATGTCCGAACTACCCAAAATCGGGGAATCCTCGTCCACAACAATGGCGACCTGACCTCGGGTCAGAAACTAGGTGTTGTAACCTGTCAGGTCACGAGTCAGGACTCCGCAACTTCGGTGTTCTGCTTGTTCCGCTCGGCAAAAAGGGCTTTAGGAGGGTGATGCTGTCAAAGGTAAGGGAAATTGAAGCTGCAAGAAATGGTCACGGAAGGGGGTGTGTGTTGATTGATTCACCTTCTGGCCAGGCTCTGATCCTGGCTGGAATCCTGCTCAGTGCTCACGAAGGACGTGTTCGGGGGAGTCTTGCGCGCATCAACGGCTCTCAATGTCCTGGCCGATGGGAAAAGCTTGAGGTCAGCCAATCGGACGGCTGTGCTGCGGGCGGGACGATTGGTGGTCGGGAGAGTCGACCAATCGTGTGTCTCTGTTGGGCGCTGGTTGGATGGTGATCCCAATCTGTACTCGATTACTCGTGACTCGTGGCACAAGAATTTTCGTGCGAAACATAGTAGAAGACACGTCAGGGCGTGGTACGTTTAGGAAAAGATCGAACGTTTAGAGCGAACACAACCTTCGCACATTTGGTGAAGATTCACAGTCGAGTGTTTGTATACGGAAACAAATGTTACGCTGCGACACGAACCTGGCGACACCAAATTGGGTGTCAGCGAAAACAAAACGTCGCAGCAGCGAGGAGCTCGAAAACACCCCAAATCCCGCCTCGGACGAAGTCCAGATTTTCGTCTATTACGAAATGTATTTTCGTCTACGTCTCGTCAAGTTGCTTCATTACACGAACCCTTGTTGGTCGTGAGTGCGGGTTTTAAAAAATCCAGATCTGTCAACTATTCGCGAAAGCCTTTTAACGACGCTTTCGCGACGCTGGCGACACAAGTAACCCGAACGAGTCCATTGAACCGATCGAAATTTACCACGCCCTTATGGTGGAAGGTGGTACCATAATTCCAGTAGTAGTACTGTTGAGAAGGTTGAGAACTCTGCGAGCAGCAGGAAGAACATATTTCTTCTTCCCAGCCAGCCAGCATCCAAGAGGCCAGAGAAGAACAGACATGAGAGAGACTGTGATAGACTTCCGCATCAACCCTTCTGATACAGTATTTATGTCACAACGCACAGCGGGAGAGGGATAGGCGGATCCTACGTTCCAGTCACATCCTGACCGTGGAAACAAGTCCCGGAATCATGTTACTAGCTGAACACCCCTGGAGGAATAATGACTCTACTTATCCCCTGGCCCAGAAACCGGAGATACGATTCCCTCCCCCCAATGTCAGCACGATTGATATAACCTGGAGTCCCAACATCCATGGATCTACCAGAGTTCACAAAAACCGCGTTGCTCCCTGGATTCGCCGGAAGCACAAACATGTAGGTACCAAGTACTGTACGGAACGGACGGATTCTAATTTTTAAGGATGGCAGATTGAAAAATTCGAATGTCCATTTTTCCAGAAGCAGGTGGTACTGAATCAGCTTCACGAGTTTCACGCCGGATAGCTGGCTGCGGATGTTGCTCGGGAGAGCCCTAAACGCAAGGTCGGGAGGCAGCAAGAAGGTGAGTGGTTGTCGGTCCGCATACCTGGCAATCATTGGATCAAGCCCTGAAGTGATAGGAGGAAAAGTTAGGCCAAGAAGGAAGGAAGGGACACGACATTAACTCAGTGAGGAAGGACTCAGTCTTAGGAGGCTGCCTTACACGATAGTGAATGCACGGATGCATCCTGGCAGGAAATGGGAAAATAGTCAACGGTCGCCAGGCTTCTTATGAACATCAAAACTCATTGCACACTAACCTGTTTTGCTGAAGTGAACCATAAAGACGGTGTATTTTCTAGTCCCCAGAATGGCCTTGGAAAAGCCGTTCAATTCTCGTCTCCCTGGGCCCATTTTTGGTTTGGGAGCTGGCTTGCCGGCATCGCCATGTTGACTGCAGCAGATTAGAGTAAGGAGGACGATGGCCCATCGTTTTGATTCCACCCCGGACAGCACGATGCGACGCAGGGGACCCCATCCCGAACTCGACTTCATTTCGACACCCTGTTTCAAAGGTTATGTGTCTGAAGCTCTTCCACAACTGTTCAGTACTAGGACAGTTTATTAGTAGGTTATTCGTACCTGTCAGATAAAGCACGTTCTACGAACTACTAAACTATTAATAGTACAGACGCAGTACTCTCGATTGAAGGCTTTGTAACTTGATATTGTCCTCAAAGGTTAAGTCGAAGGTGGGATGTATTGCCTGGCTGTGCGAGAGAGAGACTTTCTTCGTTCTCAAACGCCGACAGGAATGAAGAGAATATACAGTATCTTGTTACAAGATAGTACCTCCCCTTTCCTTGGTAGAAACACCCCATTCCAGTCACAGCAGACGGCCGCGGCCCTCCGCCTACTTCATCCTCTTCCAACTCATCTATTCCACCAAAACACTCCAGCCGCACATTTCATGCTACGAACGTGCCCAGCGTGACATCGCCGGGAGCGGAAGCTGCGGCAAAGAGAGCGGCAGTTTCTAACGACAAGAATTTCCTGAAACTAGTCATTGTGCCAGCACCTCTGTTGCCACTCTGTAGCTCTGGCAGAGCAGTACAAAGAGGCGACACGCCTCGACAACGCGGACCACAGTTACTTGTGACAGTGGACTCCATTTTATGGCTGTCTCAGACAGATCCTGTGACATATGACCCTGACGTCAGGGAAGCTGTGTGTATGGCGGTGGGCAATTGGGATCTCCGCATCTCCCTCTGGTCTGGTACCATAACTTGTCTGGTCTGGTTGTGTTGTGATTTGTGACGGTGTCACGGCTGATTTATCTTATGTCGGCGAGACGTGTTGTGTTGACTCAACCCTCCCACCTACCCCAATCGGCAAGCGACATCAGGGGGGAGGGAAGGGGAAGGATTCAACTTTGTCACAAGCTCACGGTTTTATTACTGTACACCTGCCCCCCGGTAAATTTAAAGGGTGAAAGTGGACGGCAGCATCAGTTTTTTTAGCACACTGGCCGTTTCAGGGTCAGCAGAAAGCATTTCCGTGTTCATAAAAGCCACGAGCCAGTGGAAGGTTTGGATCCGATACTTCAACAAGGATCCTAGAACCCCCGAGATCAAAATCTTTTGTTCTGGATCTGGGGGGTGTTTGGCCGGAGACCAAAAACTTTGTTTTCGTTCCCAAGGGGTTTCGGGATCTCCTCTCTCGACAACACTACCAAAATGCGGGATCTCACACATTGTAAACATCGGTCATCTAGAGAAGGAATGTCGATTTTTTTTTTCTCCTTCTTCTTCTTTATAAATTTTTTTTTTCCAGAGGCCTCTCAACTGGCCTCATTTGTGATGCTTCACGAGGGGGACAGCCCCCAGCAAAGAAAACCGTTGAAAATATCAGCTCCGAAAATAACGCATGCCAGGTGCATAAAGCTAAAATCCGGCTATCATTACGTGTAGCTGTAGTACACGTAACTCCCATCCCTCAGTCTCATCCCTATGGTTTGGCGTGTGACGAAACGAAATATGTGCCCACGGAGTAGTGTAGCCATCTATATGGACCATAGTTATAATAAATTATTTTAGGCCATCAACCGGTTTTCCTAGGAATTGGTGACACTTCTCTACCTTAATCTGAGCTATGCCATTAGCACGTACATTTCATTGCGTGTATCATATCTAATTTCTGATGAGCCACATATAGTGGCCACATAGTAATAACAGTAGCAAGAATCTAGTGCGTAGAGATATCGGTGCACGTCCCTGCTAGCCTAGCATAACGGTACCTGCTCAGTATGCCAAGACGTGCAAGTGCCCAGTCTTTGGCATGCGGCACATCGCTAAGGCCTTACGAGCCCAATAGTAGTCAGGAGCTATTGAAACTCCTACTTTCTTGTTGGATCCTAACAATGGAGGAAGTGCTGGCAATTCTCGTCTCTTACAATGAGAACACCCCCGGCTGGAAAATAATCCGGTTCAACCCGAGCCCTAGAAACCGGGGATAAGTCTCTCTCCCCCAAATGTAAGCAAGAATGATGTAACATGGAGTCCTTGCTTTAACGGTCGTATTAGAATTCACGACAACTGTGTCATTTCCCGGGGTCGACGGAAGCACATACATGTAAGCACCAAAAGTTGTACGGAACGCACGGACCTTTGTTTTCATGGTTCGCGCATTGAAAATATGAAAGACCATTTCTCCAGAAGCAAGTGGTACATAACCATCTTCACGAGCCTTCTGCCGGTTAGCTGGTCGCGAATCTTGTTGGGGAAGAGTCTAAAACGCGCGGTCTGTAGGCATTAGGAAGGCGATTGGTTGTCGGACCGCATACAAGGCGATAAAATGCTCAGAATTTGATGTGAATCATGCGATAGTGGGAATGAAAGGGCAAGAGGAAGAAGGCACGAGATAAACTCAGTGAGAAAAAACTCAGCCCCGGGGGTTGCTTCACAAGTTAGGATATGCACAGATGGATACTGGCAAGGTATGGGAAAATAGTAGAGGCTTTGTAAACGTCAAAGCTTATTGCATACTAACATGTTCTATTGAAGTGTATCATAAAGATCATGATTTTTCTTACCCTTTCCACGGCACTCTTGAAGCCATTCAGCTCTCATCTTCTCGGACCCAGGCGCGGTTTAGGAGCCGGCTTTCCGCCATCGCCTCGTTCGTTGCTTGCTATGGTAAGAACAAGGAAGACGGCGACCCATTTTTTCAAATCCATCCTGCACGGGGCAATGCAACGAGGCGGTGAAATTCGAGGAAGCCGATCCCAAACTCTGCTTCCTTTAGTGACGCTGTTCGGTACTACTTTTGACGACACGGTGAACCACACCATCTACACTTTGAGGATCTTCCGTAGCTACAATAAGAACTCTATAGTATATTAGTAACTTCGTCATACTTGCTAATGTCTACATGCATTGGGTCCTAGTACAGACGCAGTATACTGGACTAGTAGTTCAATGGCAGTAGAGCTTTCATGAAACTGGACACACGCCCTAGTCAGAGAAGTAAAAACAACATATTTACGCCGACAGTCGTACGGTCGACGATGGGGAGGCCTTTGGTTTGGCCATGCAAGAGAGAAACGCTGCTTCTTACGTCCCCAAAAGGTGAATCGGGGTTGGATTAGACATTTGCGACTAAGGGTTTACGAAGTCCCCGAACACGAGGTTGAGAGAAAATGGGGATGAAGCAGGGACGAAGGCTTCGTGGAAGCGAAGTTCCCATTGGAAAAGGCTTTGTCCATAGGCCCTATGTCCCCGCTTCATCGAGCCCTCCAAACATAAACCTATTCGCTAGCGTGACAAATTATTAGCGTCCTTTTGGTTTCCGCTTCATTCTAGCCACAACCCAACGACCATACCAAAGAAGCACGGGTTGCCTAGGCCAAGAGAAGAGCGTTGGGTCGGTTCTGATTGGCCGAGGACAAATATTGCTAGAGCCAATGAGAAAACGTGCGAGAGGCCAAATTTCTCATCTCTTATTGGTCAACGAGAACTCGACGCGCTTCGGCAACAATTTGGGGTTTTTTTTTTTTTTTTTTTTTTTTTTTTTTTTTTTTTTTTTTTTTTGCGTTCGCGAAAAGAATTTCAGTTCGACAAACTGGGTACCGAGCTGTATAATTTATGACCATAAAAGCCAGGCAATACAGTATAATTCATTTTAGGGAAATGAAACACTCTGTATCGTACCAAAGAACGGTCGAGCCGGTAAAATTTGTGCAGCCAACTTCTGACCAATCCACAACGAGAATATATAGCCACAGACGCTCGCTTCCTTCTCATTTGACAGCTCATTTCCAAGTACGTCTCAATTCCTTCTCATTTCAGACCCTACATTTGCTCAAATCCCTCTCCCTCATTTCTACACTTAGCTCTCCCTCTCCCTAGTCTTCCTTCTTCATTTCAGACCACTCTGAACGCATAGAGCTAAGACTGCACTGAGTAGGAGCCGCATCGTTTTGGTTCCTGCCTTTCTGTAGTTATACAGTTGGTCGCTTTTAAAGCGTCCCACAGTACAACCCCTTTCTGCTGACTAATAACGCTGGTTTTTCTTACTTCGTTGCAGGTTCCGCATCATCGCGCGATCCTCGATCCGGGCACGACCATGTTGGCATCCTAAACGGTAAGTCTGAATGTATCCTGACTCCGTCGCTTCCCGTCCTATTTCTCTTATCAACTCACACTCCGGTCCCGGTTTCCTGTTTGCAGGACAAGATTTTGATTGTACTACTACCGTCACGCAAAAATCCGTAAGTTATATTTTGGTGTTAGGATTTCTACCTGTCTTGTCGCCTTGCATTCTCTGCCCTGTACTCAGCTCACATGCAAGGCTTTGGAATAGAATGGATAGAACCCTGGCACGACCTTGATGAAGAAAATTTGAATCTATGGTGGAAATCGCAATTTAGCGGAATCCGCTTCCTTGTCACCGTTTTCCTCCTGTTCTAGCGATCTATCGTTTTCCCAAAATTGAGCTACGAAAATACGGAATTCTAGGTCAAATTTGTATTATGCTGAATTTTGTACGTTAAATTTTGTGATATTGAACATCTGTGCACAGAATCACTACACCCAGTTTACTAGGTACAAAATGACACGAACAGTAACAGGAATGCTTTGTGGCCTGAAAGTGTCTACATAGCGTCAACATAGCATTTACGGAAGCACAGAAAGCACATGCGTAGTGCATGCTACGTATAGCGCAGCGTCATTCGACGAAGGTCGGCATGGACAATGTTATACGCAATGCACCTCGACAGACAGTGACGGAACAATAAGTCCACAAAATGGCACTGTTTAGCAAGTTCCTGACATTTTGACAAGTATAAATGAATTATTTACAATCTAGAGCATGTGGACATAATGCACAAACAGTTTATGCACCTCTAGATATGACAAACTCTAGCCAGTATTGAATTGCTAGTAGAGAGTACAAGCTTTAACGCTCGACGGTCGATATGGACAAATACTACCCGAGTAGAGACTAGATCTGTTTCCGTCGAGCATTCTTTGCACGAGCTAGCATAGTCGCTCAGTAGCAAAGCGCATGCCCCTTACCCTGTGATCCTCCAGCAACCACGCGCCCGCTTGCTTCGCATCAGAGAAACCTCTGGGTGAATGAGTTAGTCGCTGTACAGCTATTGCGCAAGCCTCAACTATTAGCGCGCAACATCTGCGACTACGGAATTTTGCCAGAGCCCACCTAGACTGGACTCTGGACGAGTGGAGGCGGGTGATCAGGTCGAACGAGACTCAGATCACTTGATATTGCTCGGAGAGCCACACCCACGCATGGATTCGCAAAGGCGCTGCTCTCCAGGGGCATCAGGTGAAGTAGACTGTGAAGCATGGGGGTGGGCCAGTTATGGTTTGAGTCTGTATAATATCTGATGCGCCTGCTTACATGTGCAAGATTGATGGCCGCACAGATGGCCAACTCTATCACAGCATATTGCAGGACGAGGTGGCTCAAACTCTTGATTTATATGATTTGACCATCTCTGGCATGACATTCCAGTACACTATACGACCCCAAACCCAAGTGCAGGATCATTCAGGAGTGTCTAGCAGAGCAAGATTTCGTGGTCCTACAATGACCCTATTCCTTCACCGACCCCAATCCCATCGAGCAGCTCGCCAAGCATGATCAACCCGCCACAGGCATGCTGCAAACTTGGGAGCACATGCACGAGGCATGGGACAGCATTGGGGCTGGCGTGTGCAAGGCTCTGTTAGACAATATGCCTAGGAGGATCAAAGCAGGAAGTAGGGC